TGTTAATCCCACCACATGAGAATAAGACCCACTACCACAGTTTTTGGGCCAAATTTGAAGCAAGCTCTATTTTATTCAGGTGCACCAGAGAGTCGGCCAGCAACTGCCTCCTAGGTTGGGTTAGAGAGAGAAGTGCTGAGTGTGTTTCTCGGGGCTTTTTTAAGGAGTAATAGTAGTCACAAAGCAGGTTTGCAGAAGCAAGACAATGGAGCAGTTAGGAAGCATGGAAAAATCTCAAAAAATAAACAACAACCAAAAAGTCATCATCATGTGGTCACTGATTAGGGAGTGTCAAGGTGTTCTTAAACATAAGTCAAGGACGTGGGTTGGAGCAGGTCAGGTTCCAGGAAACAGAAATTTAGAAACTCAGTTCTTACAGTAAATGGAAACTTGTTTTTAGCAATACAACAAAATGCCTCCTGCCTTTGACATGGAGTCAAGCAGGTTCCTCAGGAGTCTCAACTGAGGAAATGCCTCCATAAGATCAGGCTATAGGCAAGCTTGTAAGGCATTTTCTTAATTAGTAATGGATGGGGGAGGGCCCAGCCTACTGTGGGTGATGCCATCCCTGGGCTGGTGGTCCTGGGTTCTATAAGAAAGCAGGCTGAGCAAGCCATGAAGAGCAAGCCAATAAGCAGCTCCCCTCCATGGCCTCCGCATCAGCTCCTGCCTCCAGGTTCTTGCTCTGTTTGAGTTCCTGTCCTGGCTTCCTTTGATGATGAAATGTTATATAGAAGCACAAGCCAAACAAACCCTTTCCTCTCCAAGTTGCTTTGGTCATGGTGTTTCCTCACAGCAACAAAGCCAGCTTAAAATGCATTGGTGAATATATCAGAAAGGTGGTTACAGAAAGATGGGGGAAGCTTTTCTATAGGCCTGTCTTAGTTAGGGTTTCTATCACTGTGAAGAGACACCATGGCCATTACAACTCTTATAGAGGAAAACACTTAATTAGAGTGGTTTACTTACAGTTCAGAGGTTTAGTCCATTATCATCATGGTGGGAAGCAAGGCAGCATGCAGGCAGACATGGCGCTGGAGAAGGAGCTCAGATTAGAGAAGGAACTACATTTTGATCCCACAGGCATCAGGAAGTAGTCTGAGACATTGGGCGGCATCTTGAGTGTCTATGAGATCTCAAAGCCCGCCTCCACAGTGACACACTTCCTCCAACAAGACCACACCTACTCCAACAAGGCTGCACACCTTTTAATAGTGCCACTCCCTTTGGGGGCCATTTTCTTTCAAACCACCACAAAGCTCAAGATGCTATCTGATGACATTCTTAGATTTTGGATTGGTGGAAGCTTGTGGTTGTTAACAGATTCCAAAAGGTTTTTATCTATTAGTCACAAGATGTTAGTTCTGATGGAGATGGGCAAGGAATGGTAGTTCCAGGGACTAAAGCTAGACCAACCTAAGTTAGTCTCCGGCCCTGTAACATTTCAGTCTCTCCACAGTACCACAGCTCTAGTCAGGCAGTCCGTCTCTGCAAACACAACTTCTCTCCAGGAGTTTTTATTCACAGCCCTTTAATGAGATACTTTAGGTTTCTTCCCCACAGCCTGCTGCAGTCACTGTGGAGCCACCATGAGGTTTTGTTAGGTCTGCCCATCCTTCCGAGTCACTGGCCAGAGCGGAAGAACGAACGCTTCCTCTGGTACCTTGGGCTTTTTCTTTCTCTGAAGGCCTCCTCCCCACTGCTTACAAATGGCATCATTTCCTCTTTTTCTCTGCATTTCCCTCCTCTGGGCAGATGCCTAGGTTTATAGGCTGCCTGCCTGGGATTTTTCTTTTAAATGCTAATAAATGTGTCCTTGACCTTTCTTCAGAGTCTGTTCTTAAGTTATTTTATTAACAAAACTAAGAACCTCAAGAGGACCCCCTGATTTCCTGGGTAACATGTGGTGACCATGGTAGGACCCCCCCACACACACCAAAATTTCCAGTCATAAGACCTTTGATTTCACAAACATAAACAGTGCTGCAGTGAACACGGAAGGAAAGATGCTTTTCAGCATGCTGATTATGCTAACTCAGTCTCCTCTACACGTGATACTGCCGCATCAGATGACACACGTATGTCAAACTTGTTGGGGAAATGCCGAGTTTGATATAACAGCAGGACTCATATTCCCACCAACAGTGTGCAAGAAGGCTCCTTTTCCTCCACATCCTCGCCAACACTTGTGTTTCATCTTTTTGCTAATAGCTATTCTAACAAGTATGAGTTCATATCTCATACGGCTTTAATTCGCATGTCCCTGATTGTTAGCTGCTGGATATTTTCTCCATGTTCCTATTGGATATTTGTCTATCTTGAGAAAGGTCTATTCAAGTCCTCTGCCCATTTTCAAATCTATTATTATCTTTCTTGCTAAGGAGTTGCTTTAAACATCTAAATTGCTTGAGCATATAACATCGCACATCTTAAACTCATCTATATTTAGTCAAGGAGTCTCAGTGTTTGAGTTGTTCTAAGGCCTGAAGGGTCACCTTTATGGTGAATAAGACCCAATGTCATTTTCTGATTGCTATAAGCCTGCTGCTGAATTTATTCACTCCATCCCCATTTGGGTCCTGATGTCCTTAGGTCATTTCTTCTTTTAACCGAGAAGGCAAAATTGGATCACAGGCCTGTGGGGGAAGCAGCCTAGAGTGTCCTAGCTACTTTTAGCATGAGGCCATTAAGAGCCCCAGGAGAAAGAGCTCATCATGCAGTCACCCCACTCATGAGATCTAGGACATCGGCCCCATAATAGTTGGGAGCCAAATAAATGATTTCCCTAGACTTCTTCTGAAAAGTCTTTCTCAAGAAAGACCTGGTGGTGGGATTAGATGTTCACTCCTGTGGGAATCTCTGCGACCACCAGGGCCAGCAGAGTATCAATCTGTGTGAGACAAGAAAGAAATTTTGTTCAACATGACTCAGTAGCTGGTGTTGGTTCAAACCTTTAGAGTCTCACACTGGGCATTTTATTTTGCTTGTAGATGTTTCTGAGATGGGTCAGAACAGTGGGTCAGTTAAGTCAACTATGACAACACAAGATTTACAAAACATTCTTTCTCTGTTTCTTTCTGCTGGAAACTATGTATGACTTCATTGTCCAAACTAAATTACCCATGACTCTTCAATTGGATTAAATTACCTCATAAAGGTAATAAAATAGAGGCTCAAATGTCATGATATACATAAACTATTTTTTAAATTGTTGATAATTTACCAAGATCAAAGACCCTTTGATCTTTAAATAAGAATCAGTGGAGTTGAGGGTGGTGCTTTTTCTCTGTATAGTCTGCAAGTCACAATTATGATGCTCTTCTTGTCTTGCTTCCAGAAAAATCATAATCATGAACACAAAAATTTTAAAAGGCAAGAAGTTCAAAATATACAATCTGGTGGGGCGGTGGTGGTGCAGGCCTTTAATACCAGCACTTGGGAGGCAGAGGCAGTCAGAACTCTATGAGTTCGAGGCCAACCTGATCTACAAAGAAAGTTCCAAGACAGCCAGGACTGTTACACAGAGAAATTTTGTCTTGAAAAAAAAAAAACCATACACACACACACACATACACACACACACACACACACACACACACACACACATACACACACACACACACACACACACACACACACACACACACACACACAATCTGACAAGCAGGCAGAGAAGAGTGTGCATTACCAAATAGCAATGTGAGGCAGACAGCTCTCCCTGCTCTATAATGTGCTGTACACATGCAGTGTGGTAATATTGCTTAAGAAGACATTTGTCTACAATAGCATTGATGTCAAAGAACTGAAAAGGTCATCAGACACCACTGTCTTCCAGAGTGGCCCCCCAGCTCAGACCCTCCTCCCTGGAGCAGCTCCTCCTCAAACACCATGCCATCTCTGTCACTAGGGACAGCGATTCAGTGACAAAGCCTGAGCGGCAGAGCCACGGGATGAGGTAGGTGTGGTTTGCTTTCCAACATCCAACATATTTCTTCTCAGTGAACTACAGGCAAGCATTTGTCCTTCAGTGGGGCTTAGTGCGTCCTTGAGTTAAATCCCAACTTCTTCTTGGCCAAGTCCAAGAATTCTATGGATTGTAGCTCACTGACGACTGATGTTGCCCAACCATTCACTAGCTTAGTCCCAACACATCTGCTGAGTGCAGGATTGTGGACCCGTACTAAACTGTGTCCTCTACTGTCCCCTTTCCAGACCACCAGAGGTAGTCCTAGGCACCAGAACTTTCCAACGTGAAGATGGTAGGAACAGGCCCAGCAGAGGCCTTGATTGATGAAACCTCACTTAGAGGGAGTCTAGTGCTTCAAGGAGGGGCCACGACAGGGTAGGGAGCCTCCACAAGGCAGGAAGGAGATTCGAGAACTTGAAAGATAAGAGAGCTCAGTTCGACTTAGAGAGCTGAAGGGTAGGTAATCAGTAAAGACGGGGGCAGGGAGAGAAAGGAGTAAGAATTAGTAGGAGTTGGGAACATGAAAGTCGGAGACCACATAGAAGGCAAAATGAGGACCGGGCAGTGGTGCACACGCCTTTAATCCAGCACTCAGGAGGCAGAGGCAGGTGGATCTCTGTGAGTTCAAGGCCAGCCTGGTCTACAGAGCGAGATCCAGGAAAGGTGCAAAGCTACACAGAGAAACCCTGTCGAAAAACAAAAAACAAAACAAACAAACAAAAAAAGGCAAAATGAAAGTGTACCAAAAAGAGACTAGACAAGGAAAGGTAAAGGGAGATGCTGAAGAACATGAGTTCGGCAGGTGTCCAACCGCCATCTGAAACATGTGTTAAGTAGAAAGGAGCTGATACGTATTTTGTTTGTTTGTTTTTGTTTTTTACTTTTTGAGACAGGGTTTCTGTGTAGCCTTAGCTGCCCAGGAACTCACTCTGTAGACCAGGCTGGCCTTGAACTCAGAGATCTGCCTGCCTCTGCCTCCAGAGTGCTGGATTTAAAGGCATGTGCCACCACTGCTCAGCAGGATCTGATACATCTTAATTCCAAACAAGATGAAAGTACTAGAGATTTAATCTGAATATGGTGCTTCCCTAAATGTTAGAGTAATGAGAAAAAGAGGATACGGACTGTGAATACTACCTCTCTAAAGATGTAAGATAAACACTGTGTACTCACAGGGCCAAGGGTGAGCAAAGTCCCCTGCGGGCCCAGTTCTAGAAAGGCTGGCATCTATGAGCCCTGCTCACTCATTCCCCATTCTCAGGGAAGTGGTTGAATTCTTTCTGCGCAATTGTGTGTACCTCTGACTGTAGAGAAAGGGTGCCACCTACTAAGGAAGCTCCTTCTCCAGCCAGGCCCCTTTTCCTTGTGAGAGTAAGGAGAATGAGTCAGGGAAAGCATGGATCACTGGAATGATCGAGAAATGACTGTTAGGCACTGTCATCTGAGTGATTTGACTCCTGTGCTTTAAAACTCCAAGCCTTTCATCCCATAAATTAAGTATGCAAAGACAGAATATAGTGTTCCTCTAGAGAACACTCTCTCGTGTGTTACATACTAATGGCCTTTAACAAACTAATCACTATCACACACTCCGTCCCTCAGGCTCTTAACTTCCCTCATCTGACATGAGCCCCAGGCACAGCTATTTTATTCTTTCTCCTCTGAATACATCCTGGCCATAAGCCATCCTTTGATGTTGAAGGACCTGAACCACATGACCATCTCACAGAGCATCTCAGCGATCCAGACTAAAGGGGAACCACGGCTTCCTCAACTTCTAAAACTAGAATTTATGTAGAGAGCCTCTGGTGACCCTGGCATTTTCTTACCAGAGATTGCTAAGTTCCCAAACTGTCACTGTCACCAGGGAAAGTCTCTTGCTGGGCTTCTGGGTCCAGGGGAACATCTCACCTTCCACACAACTGTGTCCTTTATGCTTTTTCTGCCCCCCTCCTCAAACAGGCCCCAGACAGCCGACCTGAGGAACAGCAGCACAGTGACCGAGTTCATCCTCGTGGGCTTTGAGCAGAGCTCCCCTTCCACCCGAGCTTTGCTCTTCAGCCTCTTCCTGGCTCTCTACAGCCTCGCCATGGCCATGAACGGCCTCATCATCTTCATCACCTGGACTGACCCCAGGCTCAACAGCCCCATGTACTTCTTCCTCGGACACCTGTCTTTCCTGGACATCTGCTTCATCACCACCACCATCCCACAGATGTTGATCCATCTGGTGACCAAGGACCACACGGTCTCCTTTGCCTCCTGTATGACCCAGATGTACTTGGTCTTCCTAGTGGGTGTGGCCGAGTGCATCCTCTTGGCTTTCATGGCCTATGACCGTTATGTTGCAATCTGCCACCCACTGAACTATGCCCAGATCATGAGCCAGCAGGTGTGTGTCAGGCTGGTGTGTTCTTCCTGGATCTTTGGGATGGTCAACGGCATCTTTCTTGAGTATATGTCATTCCGGAATCCCTTCTGCAAAGACAACCACATAGAAAACTTCTTCTGTGAGGCCCCCATAGTGATTGCCCTCTCCTGTGGGGACCCTCAGTTCAGCATGAAGTTGATCTTTCTTGATGCCATCGTGGTGCTGCTCAGCCCCATGGTGCTCATTGTCACCTCCTATGCCCGCATCCTGACCTCCATCCTCAGCAGAGCATCCTCCTCAGGCAGAGGGAAGACCTTCTCCACTTGTGCCTCTCACCTGACTGTGGTCATCTTCTTCTACACCTCAGCCATGTTCTCTTACATGAATCCCCGCAGCACCCATGGGCCTGACAAAGACAAGCCTTTCTCCCTCCTCTACACCATCATCACGCCCATGTGCAACCCCATCATCTACAGCTTCCGCAACAAGGAAATGAAGGGGGCCATGGGGAGGGCCCTTGGGAGAGGCAACCTGGCCCAGGCAGAGTCTGTCTAGGAGGAAGATACATAGTTCCCTCCACTGGAGAGTGGAGACGTAACCCCTTTCCTGGGCCTCATCATCTCTGCCAGACTCCAGGAATAAGATTCACAGCCACCTTAGCACTAGACTCAAGATGAAATTTCTTTTGTGTCCATATATGATATCTCTAGATGCCTTTCAACACAGATGGATCTTCTCTGACTTCCCTTAGTTCAGGGAAGGGAGCATCTCTGCGACCTGCATGGGCAGCAGAGAGACAAGCTGGGGGTCGGGGGACAAGAAGGCAGTTCAGCACTATGTGTATCAGTGATCAATGTCGGTTCAAACGTCCAGAGTCTGACCCCAAGTTCTTTATTAGGCATATTTAAACACAGCACAATCTGGTGAAAACTATTCTTGTGGTGAATAACTGAATCCTGCATACACGACAAAACATACCTAGATCTCTGAGGAACAAAGCTAAATACAGATCAGACGTGACAACATCAAACTCTTGGTAAAGCACATGTGACACTTTTCATAAGGATAGATTCTATAGATTGACTGAGAAAAACGAGTTTTCTAGCAGCGTCTGGAGGACGGTCCCGTGCCTGAAAGTCCCTGGCCACACAGATTGCACAAAGGTCACCAGGCTGGAGAGCAAGTTCATTCCAGCCTTCTGGGCGGAAAACAAGTTTTGCGTTCCTTCCCTTGAAGGAACAACCCCGTGTGCTTAACATCCCAGGTTCCGCTAGTGCATGTCTGCGAGCACAAAGACCTCTGTGCCCCCTGTGCCTTGGTGACACACTTTCATTCTTGGAGGCAGATGTACAATGCAAAGAAACTTATTTTATAAATTAAGAAGAGACAGACATGGTTCTCAAGGAAAAGCAACTGAAGAAGATAATCAGATCATGTTTGGGGGGCAGTAGTGTGTGTGTGTGTGTGTGTGTGTGTGTGTGTGTGTGTGTTTGCATGTTACTTATGTGTGCAGGTGCAAATGTGTGTGCACAGATAGAATTAGAATATTCTGACATATGCTCATACGTATTTATAAATGTTTTAAACTTTTTTTCTTTGTTTGAGGCAGGGTCTTCAAGTCTTGATCCTCTTAGCCCAGTCTCTCAAGTAATGGAATTACTTGAATGCACTGCCATACTTGGTTCCACCTGGCGATGCCATCGTCAGTCTGGATATACACTGCATAATTTATCATAGTGTTTGAAGAATCCTCCTTGTCTTCTGTATTTTCCATAATCCACTCACAGCTGGTGAGTCTGCCCCATTCTTTCCCTCGCTTTCCCCAGCCTCTATCATTTTATCTATGGGCTGGATCGGTGGCTTGCAACCATTGACAATTTGGTGATGTTGGAAAGAGTTGCTGCTGGCACCTACAGAGCATAAGAACAGGCGCTAAACATCCTAACATAGTAAGGACAGCTTCCACACTGAAACTGAATGTCCTAAGAGCTCAACGGTGAACGAAAAACTAAGGCAGAAAAGTGTTTGAGAAAGATATATCAGTGTCAACCTGTGGCCTCTGCACAGCCACATAGGAAAGCACAAACAGATGCCCACGTGGACATGCACACACACACACACACACACACACACACACACACACACACACACACCTCTAAGTTTTTACTATAAAGATCCAGATACATGCTCTCAAGATAAATACAACCAAACTACTACAAAAATAAAATTCCAATTTCTGATATCACTATGGCTTATATCTTGAAGCCCTATGTGTTAAAAGGCATGATCCAAAATAATGCCATTGAAAGGTGACAGAACCCTTAAGGAACAGGCCATAGTGAGAGGTCTTCAGATCACTGGGGCAGCCACTTGAATATGACTGGGAACTTGGTCCCCTCCTGGCTCACGTTTTTGTTGTTATTGTTGTTTATTTTATTAAGGCCTAATATTTCTCCCTTCCATTTCTTCCCTCAAAAACCTCCCATACATCCTTCCCCATGCTCCTTCAAATTCATGGCCTCTTTTTTTCATCAAATGATTATTGCTTGCATATATGTATTTGTATATATATAATATATACAGACATGTATACATACATGTACATAATGTATATTATATATATATATATACGTACATACCTGAATATAGCCTATTGCATCCATATATTACTTGCATATATGTTTGCAGGCTGACCTTTTGAAACTAGACGATCAAATGGTGTCCTCTTCCCTGGGGAGGACCACTTCTGGTCCCAGCTTTCCTCAGTTGCCTATAAATCTTTGTGTTGCGTTGAGGCCCCATGGGATTTTTTCCATCCACTTCGGCATGTTCGTTAGCATCATCCTTGTTTGGGCATGTTTGGGCGGTCGTGTTGGTGAGATTTTACAAGTGTAGTTTCTGGTGTTGTTAGAAGACACAACCTCTGGGGCTGGAGAGAAGGCTCAGAGGTTAAGAGCACTGGCTGTTCTTCAAGAGGTCCTGAGTTCAATTCCCAGCAATCACATGGTGGCTCACAACCATCTGTAATGAGATCTAGTGCCCTCTTCTGGCCTGAAGGCATACATGCAGGCAGAACACTGTATACATAATAAATAAATAAATCTAAAAAAAAGAAGACACAACCTCTCATAAGAGTCCCTGATCCTCTGGCTCTTACTGTGAGACCAAAATGAGCCATCTTAGAAATAAGACCAAAATGCTTTCACCCTAAAATTAAGGCCTAATATTTCTCCTTTTGGGAATAGGCCATTAGTTACTGAAACCAGTCAGTTCAGATTCCAGAAACCAGGAAGTGTAAAGTACAGAGTCACAATATAGTCATGAGGTAATGCCTGCCAGACTATGGAATGGCTGTCCCTGGTTTCCAGGGTAACTGACCACAGAAATGCCCCCACCTGAGGGCAGCCAATGAGAAATGGTGGCAGCCAACCACTCCCTTAGAAGTAATTTCTAGAAGTCCCTAGAAGCGAGCCAATCAGAATTGTACCTGTACTAGCACCCCTAAATGATGCAACCTTGTGATTTTTCCCTTTAAAAGCTGAGCTTGCAGACAGGTGGGCACTTCCTCCAGCCTCCACTGCGTTGGATGTATTGGACAAAGTCCCTGCCTAGGCTTGTATTGCTTTTGGATATCCAGAATTAAACCTTGCTTTTGCATTCCGGCATGCTCGTCTTTGGTGGTTTCTCTGGGGGTCACGATCTGGGCACATTACAATCTTTATGCCCCATCATCTGCAATGTCTCCTGAGCCTTATGAATGGGAGAGTTCTGTGGATGTACCCACTAGGACAGGGCACCACAACTCTGCCTATTGATTGGTTGTGGTTTTGTGTACTGGTCCCCATCTATTGTAAGGAGACGTTCCCTTGATGAGAGGTGGAGACTACACTTGTCTATGGATATAAGGATGAATGTACAGATTGCTGGGAGGGATTATGGTGGTTTGGTAACTTAGTGGTTGTAGGTTCTCCCCCATTAGCCATGAATCCACCAGCACTGAGTAGTAGGCCAGGTTTCCAGTACCAGGCATGGTCTCCCTCTTGTTGAGTGGGTCTTAAGTCCAATTAGAGAGCTGCTGGTTACCAGAGGGTATGTGTGCCACTGCTGTGCCCTGAGGGGTTATGGAGCCATGCTGGTTGTTGATGTGGTTCATAGGTGTCTGAGCTGAGTAGGACTGTTTGTTGCCTCCCTCCTTCGGAAGCTTGCATGGCACCTCTGATATCATGAGAGCTAGTCCTCAGGGAGGGGCATTCAGGCCAGCTCCAGCTCAGGGACCTCTGGGCTCTATTTCTCAAGTGCATGGTGACCCCACCAAACATTTTCTCATATCACCATGCCATGCTCAAACCAACAGTAATCAAAAGCTGAGCACCCACACTGTGTAGGACCAGAAGTGCTCTAATCAGGTGATTAAGCATAGATGGAAGGTCTCTCCACCCCAATCTACTGAAGCCTGCTGAGTCAGCTGCCCTTTCAATTCTGTACAACCCCCCAAAACTTAGTAATTCCCTTGGTTCTCAGTGGCTCCTCTACTCCCGAAAACCTTGACCTGCTATAAAATTGAAGTTTATGACACTTGTGTTCTGACTCGGTCTAAGTGTGGAGAAATTCTTCCACCTTTCATCAGTCTGCTACCATTATCTCCCAGTGGGTCTCACTAAATCGAATATACTGGGACATTTAGGTAAAATAACCATCTGTGCATAGTAAGGGATGAAAGCCAGGCAAAGACCTTTGGAGTTTGAGATGTCCGATGTTCCTTCACATGAATATTCAAAAGCTCTTGAAGGAAGTCAGCGATTCAAGCCCTTTAAAGGAACCTTGGTCTGCGAATTCTTTCCCTGAAAGGTCAACTCATTGATATGCTAAAACGTTCATTCTGTTCACCTGCAATCTCTGCAGTACTGTCTTGACAGAATTTCACCCAAGCGTGATATTTACACCAACTGTGCCCAGTGACATCGAATAAAGTACATTAATATTTAGTTTGTCCAAGATTATAATGTTAAGATATCAGATTTTGTGGTTTATCTATTTAATGTAATATTTTAGTAAGAAATAATTATATTCGAACAAGAGTAGTCTAAACAGTTATATTAGAACAAGAGTAGTCTAAAACGTGACATAATTCCAGGACCCCTGAGGGTGAAAAACATTAACCACACATGTTATGTAAATTAAGCTTCTATATTTTCCCATTTATTTCGATTTTAACTCTTGTCCTTTTTGATGAGATTTATTCCTATATCCTGTATATTTTGGATACTATTTAATTATTATCGGCGATGGCTATTCTTGGTTGTCAACTTGACTATATCTGGAATGAACTACAATCTAGAAATGGAGGGCACACTTGTGATCTGGATCTTTTTTTTTTTTTTTTTTTTTTTGGTTTTTCGAGACAGGGTTTCTCTGTGTAGCTTTGCGTCTTTCCTGGAACTCACTCTGTAGCCCAGGCTGGCCTCGAACTCACAGAAATCTGCCCGGCTCTGCCTCCCAGTGCTGGGATTAAAGGCATGTGCCACTTGGCTGATCTGGATCTTGAAGCAGGAAGACCACAAACCTTTAATCTAGATCTTGAGGTGGGAAGGCACACCCTTAACCTGGGCCACACCTTCTGCTGGAAGCCTGTGTAAGGACAGTGGAAGCAGGAAGTGATTGTCCTTCCCCTGCTTGCCCTCAGAACATCCATTCCTTAGTCAGGGTTGGAGCCTACTTCTTCCAGATTCCAACTGAGACACACAGCCTTGTGAGACTGAGCAACTACTAGGTTCTTGGACTTTCCATCACAACTAGCCATTGTTGGACTGCAGCCTGTAAGTCATTCCAATAAATTCATCTTATATATATATAAGTTCTGTGACTCTAGAAAACCCTGACAAATACACTATCTTATGTCATGCATATATTGAATTAGAAAAACATTGAATTAGTTGACAACTCCCTTGTAGCATGAATCTTCAAAGGTCTTATTAATAAAAACAAACCTGAAGCCAGGTATTGGGGTGAACGCTGGAAGATCAGAGAAACAGAACAAGCCACAGCCACCTCACCTTGCCAATTCCTCAGCTGATCCTGTTTCTTCAGACTGGAAGCCTCTGAGTCCTCATCCAAAATGGATCTCAGCTGAACTGTGCTGCTCAAAAAACTTAACCAGCTCTAGTTCCTGGTCCTCATGCCTTAAATACCCTTCGCTTTCTGCCATCACCTCCTGGGATTAAAGGCGTGTGTCATTGTGCCTGGCTGTTTCCAGTGTGGCTTTTAACTCACAGAGATCCAGACAGATCTCTGCCTTTGGAATGCTAGGATTAAAGGTGTGTATGCCACCATTTTCGGGCCTCTATGTCTTACCTAGTGGCTGTTCTGTTCTCTGACCCCAGATAAGTTTATTAGGGTGCACAATATTTTGGGAAACACAATATCACCACACTCCCTGGCAGTAGAGAGTAGAATAGTGGTTACCAGAGCCTAGAGAGGGAAAAATGAGCAGAGGTGGATCCATGTGCACAAAGTTGTAACTAGACAGGAGAAATAAATTCTGGGGTTCTATTGAACAGTAGGGTAGATATGGCTAACAATAATGCATTTATGCTCCAAAATTGTTAGAAGTTTGTGAATGCTCTAACCATAAAAAAATTACACACACACACACACACACACACAGAGTGATATGCAATTAGCCTGATTTGATCAAATCACCTCATAGTTAGCTTTAACTGTCAACACATCCAGAATTACCTGGGAAGAAAATCTTAATGAGGAATTATTTAAATCAGGTTGTGTTGTGGAATATTTGTTTACATTGTGTGAAGATGTGTCAGTGTGATTGGCTTAATAAAGAGCTGAATGGCCAGTTGCTAGGTAGGAGAGAATAGCCGGGACTTCTGGGGGGAGACAACTCTGGAAAGAAGAGAGGCATGGAGACACCAGTGAGATGTGGACCAAATCGGACATACAGAACAGAGGAGAGGTAACTGAGCCACGTGACAGAACGTAGACTAATAAAAACAGGTTAATTTAAGTTACAAGAGCTAGTTGTGAACAAGCCTAAGCTAAGGCCAAGCATTCGTAATTAATAATAAGTCTCCCTGTCATTATTTGGGGCTGGCAGCTGAAAAGAAAGTTCGCCTACAAGGTTGGTCTGTAGGTATATCTGTAAGGGATTGTCTCAGTTGTTAACTGAACAGCCCAGGTGGGCAATACCGTTCTGTGGTTTGGGGCACTAGACTATGTAAGAGTAAGAAGGCTGACTGAGTACCAAGCAAGTAGGCAGCGAGGATGCTTTCATTTCTCTTGGCTCTTGACTGTGGGTGTGATCTGGCCAGCTGCTCAAATTCCTTAATTTCTCCTCAGTTTCTTTCCAGAAATGACAACCTGTGACCTGAAACTGTAAGCCAAATAAATCCTTTCCTCCCGTGAGTTGCTTTTGGCCAGGCTGTTTTCTCACAGAGGCAGAAAAGAAACTAGGAGCATACCCAAAAAACACTTACAATTTTAATCCGAAGAAAAATAATTAAATGCCATCTTAAGGATTACATTATCGAGGTCTCTTGTGCCGTGTCTTAATTATTTTTCTATTGCTGATGAAACACCTTGACCAAAGCAACATATAAATGAAAACATTTAATTGGGCTTGCAGTTTCAAAAGACTAGAGTTCATGCTGGTGGGGCAGACACTGTGGGAGAAAAAGCTGAGAGCTCACCCCTTGATCTTCAAGGAGCAGGCAGAGAGAGCTAACTAAAAATGTCACTCTTGGGGGCTGGAGAGATGGCTCAGAGGTTAAGAGCACTGACTGCTCTTTCAGAGGTCCTGAGTTCAATTCCCAGCAACCACATGGTGGCTCACAACCACCTGTAATGAGATCTGGTCCCCTCTTCTGGCCTGCAGTCACATATGCTGTATACATAATAAATAAGTAAATCTTTTTTTAAAAAAAAAGTCACTCTTCCTTTATTTCATCCAACAAAGCCACACCTCCTTCTAATCATCCCCAAGCAGCCATTAGAAGACCAAGTATTCAAATATATGATCCTATGGGGTCATTCTCATTCAAACCATGACATGCTGTATGACATTTGGGGGCACATGTGAGCAAACTTGATCCTTACCCCCTCTAGAGCACCAATGACAGACTCAGCTATAGGGACATGGGTGAACCAAAGGCAGTGACATCACAGTGAAGCCCCCTCCAGTGTGGATGATGCCTCGTGAAAACTGTATCCCCGAGCTCTCTGTGTAGCCTGCAGTCAGCTCCACCAAGGACACCCACCTCCCACCTCACCGCCTCCCCATAGCAAAAGTGTACTGTCTTTCAAACCTTGGGGAGGAGCCTGGCCAATCACGTCACTTCCTATATTGCTCGAACCTTACAACCCTCATGAGGCCCCTGAGCCCTACAAGGCTCTTTATTTCCCTTCAGAAAGAAACGCTTCAATTCAGAAGGAGTAACTGTAGAGCACGGGGTGGCAGACATACAGCTAAGTTTCTGAACATTGATTTTGGGCCGAGTAACTTGGTTGACCCTATGAATTTCACTCAGCAAGCTATCCACGCATTCTTTTAGTGTCTCTAGGACTATGATCAAATTACCCGTACTTGAAGAGAATTTCATTGCTAATTTCTGCATTCATACACAATTTCATTTCCTGCCCTATTGTTCTGCATGGAACCCACCAGTACAATACTGAGTAAAAGTAGAGATGATGGCCATCATAGGTTTATCTCCTCTTTAAGATAATGCTTTTTAAATGATAACTATTACAGACGATGTTTTCTATAAGGTTCCGCATTAATCTTTTCAACTTTTTTAGTTTTTGTTAGCTCGTTGAGAATTTTATACAATGTATCTTGATCATATTTACTTCTTCTTCCCAACTTCTTCTAGATCCACTGTTCCTTCCCTACCCACGTAACTTTGTGTCCTCAAAAAAAAAACTTAGCTGGGCGGTGGTGGCTCACACCTCTGATCCCATCACTCAGGAGGCAAAGGCAGGTGGGCGGATCTCTGTAAGTTCAAGGACAGCCTGGTCTACAGAGCAAGTTCCAGGACAGCCAGGGGTACACAGAGAAACCCTGTCTCAAAAAAAGAAAAAAAAAAACTCATGAAGTCCAATTTGCTTCGCCCGTATACTCCTTGGTGTGTGCCCATCCACTGTGGTGTGGCCAACCTACCATGGGCCACATCCTTCAAGAGCACTGATGCTCCCTCTCCCAGCATCTACCAACTGTCAATAGCACCTCAGCGAGGGGTGGGAGTTCATGACCGTCTCCCCTCCCATGCTGGGTTTGTTTGTTTGTTTGTTTTGGTGTTTTGTGGGGTTTTGTTTGTTTGGTTGGTTGGTTGGTTGGTTTTTCGAGACAGGGTTTCTCTGTGCAGCTTTGCGCCTTTCCTGGAACTTACTCTGTAGACCAGGCTGGCCTCGAACTCACAGAGATCCATCTGCCTCTGCCTCCCAGTACTTTAAAGGGATTAAAGGCGTGCGCCACCGCTGCCCAGCTTTGCTGGGTTTTGTCTGGCTTGAGTCTGTGTAGGTCTCATGCATGCTGTCCCTTCTGTGAGTTTATATGTGCAGTTTCCCTGTTGTGTCTGGAAAAGACTATTGACCCGTAAGTCACATACTTCTTCTGGATCTTACCACCTCTACACTCCCTCTTCTGCAATCATCCTGAAGCCTTGAAAGGAGGCGGTGTGGTACGGATGTTTCCTCCAGGGTTGAGAATTCTGTAGTCTCTCATTCTCCGCACCATGACCAGCTGTAGGTCTCTGTGCTGTTTGCCATCTACCACGAACAGAAGCTCCTCTGATGAGAGCTGCATTCATCTACGGTTATGATGGCAAATCGTTAGAAGTCCATTTACCACTACGTCCACTTAGCAGAAGAAGGGTGTGAGAACCTACTGTCTAGTCACAGGTTCTTGGTTCTAATAACGTTGTTAGGTATAGGTTTTATCTTGTGCAATGGGCCTTAAATCTAACCAGAAAGTGGTGGGTTACTCCCATGACATTTGTGACAGAGCCTGTGGTCACGTCAGGCTGTCGCTATTATGACTCAGAGGTGCGCAGCTGGGTGAGATTGGCGATGACCTTTCTCCTCTGGTAGCACTTATGGCACTTTCTGGCACTGTGAAGCTAGCCAGCGGGAATGATGCTTCCAGGTCAGTTACCAACTTGGTTTTTCTATGCTGTATGACTCAAGTATGTAGTATCTTCAGCAACAGGGGCTTATTGTCAAATTCTGTGATATTTGGAGGTCTATGGGACTTTCCTGGCCAACGACTCTAAGACAGGTAATCCTTTCCTGGAACTGGGTTTATAGTTATTAGTCTGTAATCTTAACAGCTTTAAAAAAAAGTTCTTTTATATTCCTGGTTAGCTGAAAGCTTTTTAAAAAATTAAATACAGGTGTGAATTTTCAATCAAATAGATGGATTTTTCTAGATGACAGAGATCATCTATCATTTTCATTTATTTGTTGATATGGTGATTTATATTAATTCACTTTCTAATGTCAAATCAATTTTGAATCATCATGATAAACTCCATTTATAATATAAGGTATTAATTTTTAGTGCATTGTAAGATGCAGTTTGCTAAAAGTTTGTAAGAATTTTGTAACTATAATTCTAAGAAAAATGATTGACTTTGTTTTGTCAGATTTGGTACTGAAGTTATGTTAACTTCTTTTAAAAGTTGAGATGGTTCCTTATTTCTAATTCATTTGTGTTAGTTTTTGTTTGGTTGGTTTGAGTCTTTTCCGAATTATCACATAATACTTAAGGAATGTATGTGGAAGGAAGATTTGTTTGGGTTGATAATTTTGATTGACTGTCTTCATTTTTTTTTCAGGCACATGGCAAGGCAGCATACTATTGCCTGAGCATGAGGTGAGGTGAAACACATTATGACTGAGAAGCAAAATAGAGCAAGGATATTTTATTTTATTTGAGGGCTGTTATGAATGGGGTTGTATCCATGATCTCCTTCTTTGTATGTTTGTTGTTGGTGTATAATAAACTTAACCACGGAAGTGAAGGACCTCGCCAATAAAAATTTTAAACCTCTGAAGAAAGAGATTAAAAAAAAAAAAGATAATAGAAAATGGAGAGGCATCCCATACTTGTGGATTGGTAGAATTAATATTGTGAAAATAACTATTCTACCAAAAGCTATTTACAGATTCAATTCAATGCTAATAAAAATCCCTATCTCATTCTTTGCAGAAAGGAAAAAAAAACTATCTTAAAACTCATAGGGAGCCGGGCGGTGGTGGCGCACGCCTTTAATCCCAGCACTCGGGAGGCAGAGCCAGGCGGATCTCTGTGAGTTCGAGGCCAGCCTGGTCTCCAAAGCGAGTTCCAGGAAAGGCGCAAAGCTACACAGAGAAACCCTGTCTCGAAAAACCAAAAAAAAAAAAAAAAAAAAAAAAACTCATAGGGACCCATAAAAGATCCAAGATAGCCAAAACAATCCTCAGCAGAAATAAAACCATGCTGGAGGTATTGCTATTCCAGATCTTAAGATATACTTCAGAGCCATACTAATAAAAATGATATGCTATTGGCAAAACAATGGACACTTAGACCAATGGAGCAAGATCAAAGACCCAAACATGAGCCCATGTAACTTCAGACACTAAATAATTTGACAAAACTGCCAAAAACATACACTGGAAACAGAAAGCATCTTCAACAAACGGTGCTGGTGAAACTGGGCGCCCACATGCGGAAGAATGACGTCAGACCTGTACCCATCACCTTGCACAGAAAGTAATATCACATGAAACACACATCTAAAACTGAAACTTTCCAAGACATTTAAACGGGGAGAAGAAAGGTAGGCAGCGCCCTGCGTGATGTAAGCGTAGGAAAAAACTTCCTGAATAGGACTCAATTACCCGAGAATTAAAGACAAAAATTGACAGGTGGGACTTCTTAAAACTAAGACGTTTCTGCACAGCAAAAGAAACAATTATCCAGGTAAAGAGGAAGCCCACAGAAAAGGAGAGAATCTTTTCTAACTGTACATCTGACAGGGGATTATTATCTAGATTATACAAAGAACTCAAACAACAAGGAATCAAAAAAAAAAAAAAAAAAGGACTCATTCAAAAAATGGGCCTGAGACCTAAATAGAGAGTTCTTAAAAGAAGGGGAAAATGGCTAAGAAATATCTCAAAAAAAATGTCCATCATCCCTAGCAATTAGGGAAATGAAAATCAAAACAACCTTGAGATTTCATCTTACCCCAGTCAGAATGGCAAATGTCAAGACAGCAGACAACAAATGCTGGAGAGGATGAGGGGGAAAGGGAGACCTCATTCACTGTCAGCGGGGTTGCAAATCTGTATGGAGAATTCTCAAAAGGCTAAAAACAAATCTACCAATGACCCAGCTACACCACTCCTTGGCATATGCCCAAAGGACTCAACATCCTACTACTCAGATACTTGCTTGGACATTTTCATTGCCATTCTATTCACAAAATATGGGAAATGGAAATGACCTAAATGTCCTACAATCCATCAGTACATACTGAAATTGTGGTTCATATGCACTATGGAATACTAGTCATCTGTAAAGAAAAAGGAAATCATGAACTTTGCAGGTTCGCAGATGGAACTAGAAAAGGTCCTGTTGAGTGAGGAAATTCAGGCCCAGAAAGTTCTCTCTGGGAGGCTCCAAATCTTCAGATGTGAATACACAGGCTGTAGTAACTACAGAAACCAGGAAAGTGAAATGGGATGATTGCCAGCATGGGGGGGTGGGGTACAAGTATAAGATCAGGGAAGTGGGAGAAGGGGGCTCTTTAGGGAGGGAGAAGGTGGTACATACAGAAGAAGGTGGGAAGAGGTAAAGGGGAACAGGCTACAACTGATATGATGGGGAACTGGAAAGGGGAGCTCCTTAGGGAAGGGAGGAGGGGTAAACACAAAAGGAGGAGGGGAAGTGAAAAAGCAATATGAATGGCTGAAGAGACTCAAGAAATCCTACTATTAACTACTTAAAAAAACCCCATAAGGTAATGTGATTCAGTGTATAAATATACATATATAGTTTTAATGAACTTTTCCCATCTGAGCTGACGGTGCTCCCTCCAAGAGCCAAAGACCACCTAACAAAACTCCCAGTATCAGACATGAGAATTTAAGTTGTTAGCCAGGGGTGTCTGAGAGACTCCCCAAAACATACAGCCTATGGCTAGTAACCTTGGTCACCACTATACAACCCCAAGAAGTGGAAGGTTAGTCCCTATTGCTGAAGACACCATGCACTTCAGAAATAGGGCCCAGCGGTCCCTGAGTTGAACTGACCTGAATGTCCCCTCTCTGAAGAATAGTTTTCATGGTACCAGAAGGTGCCATACAAGCTTCCAAAGAAGGGAGGCAACGAAAAATCCTACCTAGCTATGACATCTAGGAATCACATCAACAACCAGGATGGCCCCATAAGCCTAAGGGTGCTGTAGTGGCACATACCTCGGTGATACCAACTGCTCTCCAATTGTACGTAAGTTCCACTCAACAAGGAGACCATGCCTGGTAGTGGAAACCTGGCCTACTACTCATTGCTAGTGGATTCATGGCTAATGGGGGAGAACCTACAACCACTAAGTTACCAAACCACCACAATCCCTCCCAGCAATCTGCACATTTTCCCATCTATCCATAGACAAGTGTAGTCTTTACCTCTCATCAAGGAAACTTCTCTTTGAAACAGATAGAGACCACTACATAAAACCACAACCCATCATAAGCAGAGTTGTGGTGCCCAGTCTCAATCTAGAAAACACTCCCACACCTCAGGCTCAGGGAACATTGCAGCAGAGGAAGATTGTAAGAGCCAGCGGATCAGCATAGCAGGCTTTCTGGGACTGCCAGCCCCCCCCCCCCCATCATGACACAAAGACTTATTATTAGTTATAAATGCTTGGCCCTAGTTTAGGTTTGTCCCACTAGCTCTTATATAACTTATTTTAACCTGGTCTCTTCATCTACATTTTACCTCGAGGTGTTTACCTTTCTTTCATTTTCTGTGTTCTGCTTTCCTGCTCCCTCTGTGTTTGTCTGGCGGCCACCCAGCTGGCTGACCCCAGCATCTCCCTCTTTCTCCCTCGTTCTCTCTTGAGCCTATATTCCTCCTACTACTACTTATTCTCTCTGGTCACCAGCCCCACCTATTTCTCTATGGCCTAACTATTGCCTGTTCAGCTTTTTATTAGACCAATCAGGAGCCTTAAGCAGGCAAGGTAAAACAAGTACAACACATCTTTACATAGTTAAACAAATGCAACATAAACAAATGTAACACATCTTTACATAGTTAAACAAATGCAACATAAACAAATGTAACACATCTTTATATAGTTAGACAAATATAGCATAAACAAATGTAACACATCTTTACATAGTTAAACAAATGCAACATAAACAAATGTAACACATCTTTACATAGTTAGACAAATATAGCATAAACAAATGTAACACATCTTTGCCTAGTTAAACAAATATTCTATTCCACAACAGATCAGGGACTCTTCTATGAGACTGTGTCTTCTAGCAACATCAGAAACTGTACCAGTAAAGGCAGACCAACATGACCACCCAAACATGCCGAAACAAGGCGGACACTAATGAGCAGGCCAAAGTGGATGGGGAAAAGCCCACTAGGCCTCAACCCTACACAAAGAACTACAGGCAACTGAGGAAAGCTGAGAGCAGGAGAGGGGACCCTCCTCAGGGATGAGCGCACCAGTTGCTTATCCAGTACCAAATGGTCAGCCCTGAAAACATACACACAAGGAACATTATATGGATGCAACAGGCTATATTTGGGAATACATAATATGTGCATATATATACATATATATTCATGCAATAACAATTGATGAAAAAAGAGGTCATGAATTTGGAAGAGAAAAGGGAGGGATATATGGAAAGGTTTGGGGGGGAAAGGGAAGAGAGAAATGATGTAATTATATTACAATCTCAAAAATATGTTTTAAAGAGTGAAAGGAATTCCTGACTTGAAGATGGGGGTGCAAGGATCATATTTACCAGGTTTCTTAGCT